GAAGAAAAAAGTCAAGAATTATTGAAATATGTGGGATAAATTTGGATTTTGTTTGTTAGTTTGATACAAATCTTTTGATAAATTCAAAAGAATTTAAAAAATAGAAATGATAGAGACCTCTTTTTTTTCTTAACCCTACAACCCCCATAGACACATCTTAGTGATAGAAGGAAAAAAAAATAAAAAACAAAAAATAAAAAGTTGATCAATCTCAATACATTGGGGGTGATGAAAGTCAAGGAAAAAAGGATTCTCAATCATTTTCCTTTAAAAAATTGAAACCATTATATTCTATAAACTGAGTGGATGGCCCTAGCGTACTCCAAACCATAGTCTAAGGAGTGTTTTGAAAAGTTGATAAAAAATTAGTTTTTTAACTTTTTTTTAGTCTATTTTATCTTTTTGTAGATAAAAAATATAAGAAATGATATGATTTAAAATAGATAAAAAGCTAAAAACTAGGTAAAAAGTTACTTCCCAAAAGACCCCCAAGTCCGTGATTACAATCGTTACATTTTATTAGAAAGTCAAACGTTTCAACATTTCTTCTTTATTTTTTATTTTTTATTTTTTTTTAAGAGGAAGAACACAGCATAAACATATAAAAACAAAAGTTATACAACGTACATGGTTAGCCAGTAACCTGGCATTACCGAGTAGCAGCTTTTGCCACCAGATGCGCTGCATTAACAAAGCTCCTCCTAGGAACCTTGATAATCCTGAAATCATCAAAAGAACTGGACATACATCTAATATCATCAACATTTCTTTTCATTTGTGAATTTTGATGTATAAAAGAAAAAATACAATTTTAGTTTTTAGACTAAACTTGTAATTGATGCTTAAAACTGAGTTCTATTAAGCTAAATCTGTGTTTACAAATATTAATCTAGGACAATAATGAAAAATAATAAAAAACAGAATTTGAACTTACTAACAAAATAAATTCTGAATTTTTATTGTTAAATTTCTTAATCATATAATTAGTTTTATTAAATATGTTGAAAATATAGGATTTTTTTTTAAGGTCCTTGTTATTAAGATTTTATAGCATAAAGGACATTCAATATTTTAATAATGTCTAAGGTCCCTCAAATTGATCCAGAGAAAATTCAACTTCATAGAGAAAATCTCACCAGAGAAATTCTCACTTCAACCCAGATAAATTCCCTTCACCACCCCAGAGAAATTCACTCAAACCCAGAGAAAATTCAAATTTCTCTGGATTCATTTCGACCAATTTTATCTGAGTTTTCAAATTTCTCTGGATTCATTTATAAACTAGAGAAAATTCAAATTTCTCTGGGTTCATTTTAACCAATTTTCTCTGAACTATAAAACACAATATTATTTTATGAAATCCAGAGAAATTCCCCGAATAAATCTTCATTTGCACATCAGGTTCCACATAACACAGCCAACAGTGAAAATAAATAACACAAATAAAGAGGAGGCCTAATCTACCAACACATAAACACATACCCACTGATAAACACCTTCCTGAGCCCCATCCAATACTGTGACCCAATCAGCCTTAGATTTCAAGGTGCTCTTTATCCTTCAAAAAATCCTTGACCTTTGGAATGTAAAAATTTAAATCCACAAGTATGAATAAACAAAGATGAAATTCACTCAAACCCAGAGAAAATTCAAATTTTTCTGAGTTCATTTTGATCAATTTTCTCTGGGTTTTCAAATTTTTCTGGGTTTATTTTGACCAATTTTCTCTGGATTTTCAAATTTCTCTGGGTTCATTTATAAGCCAGAGAAAATTCAAATTTGATTGGGTGCATCACCTTGCAATTGCCTCAGACCTGCAGTGGCCTGGATAGAATGTAAAACCCAACAATTTATTTTCCATTATTCTCAAAACTTATCAATAACCAAGCAATAGCCTAATTCAAACTACTTAAATTATCAAATTTTCCTTTTTTCTCTAAAATTCCTCAACAATTAAGCAATACCCACAACTACAAAAGCAAAACCCATAGCTGAAAAAGCAAAAGAAAGCACCCCAAAGCCCTACATTCTCATTGATCATGGGTATCATCGACATGGCATGCTCAAAAGTCACCTTCTCCCCATCGAATTTGGGCTACAGGTAATTCTCCAAATACTAACTCACCTCCAGAATCATCACCCTCTGCAGCGGCACAGGCTTCCGAACGTCCTTGACCAGCAACTCCATGTCGTAAATCTCCTTTACCAAATCCGGACTAAAAGACTTCTTCGGCCTCTCTTCGCCTCCAGCTTTGGACCAATTCTCCAACGCAATCTTCGTCAGACAAGCCCTCTGAATCTTGCTCAGCGTTATTGAGTTTGGCAAATTCGAACCAGTTTGCCACTCTGGCGGTGTCACGACATTTTCTGATCCCAATGGCTATGAATTTCCTCTCTGTATGATTAACTCTCAATCTCTAAAATCTTTAATGCTAGAACCATTGAAAACGAAGAGTCGTAATAGCCCCCTCCTTGAGTGAGGGTGATAATGGCGGCAGATCCGTCGATCTGCGAAGTTGATCTAAAGGGAGAGGCACTGGCAGCTATGGCAAGAACAATGGAGGATGCGGCAGCTTTGGTGGAGGTGAAGTGATGAGATCAGGGAGAGAGAGAGAGGTAGGATTGATTTGGAAATTTCTATGTATATATGAGTGTGGGGGTTGAGGACCTTAGACATAATAAATAATATTGTGGATCTCTTACATTACTAAATATGGGGGAAGGGCCTTAGACTAATTTTTCCTTTAAAATATTTAAGGCTTTGAACATGTTTATATTTGGGAATTATTTGTAATGTTCGGGAAAAATTGAAGAATTATTGAAATTTGTGGGATAAATTTGGATTTTTAACCCAACAAGAAAATTCTTTTGATTTGCTTTTTCCTTCCCACCTGCTGCCTGAAAGAAAATTCTTCCCTGGGAAAATAATGAGGAATACATAACAAGCTCAACACAAAATTAACATGCATATTACATGAAACCAAATATAAATTATGCGAGAACGAGGGAGGTTTTGTGAGCCGGAGCCAAACTGGGTCCAGGAATAGTGATGGACCGAACTATGGGCTGAGCAAGGTCCAAGTATAAGAATTAGCCGGGCTGTGAGCCGATGTGATTGGGTTCCGTGACTTGGACTCCACTTCTATTATCCCGGTCAGAGGCAGTTGCAGATTAGCTCGGTCTCGGTGGTAACCAACCGAGGTATAGGTGGATGAAGACCAAGCTAAGCGTTGCATATAGAAGCACTGAGCGATGTATGTCAAAGTTCATGGGTTAGCTCGGTCATACTGAGGTTTTACCGCTGCATAACCATCTCCCTTGAGTAAGCAGCGGGAAGGGTGTAGAAAGATGAGCATTACCTTTCTAATTCCTAAGAGGACTCTGCTAAGGAGAGTAGAGTCCCACTAGGATTGTGCAAACCATCTCACTTAGTTGGTAATGAGTAGGGTGAGTGATTTCTAGGAGGATTCTTATGAGGAAGAGTTGGAATCCTACTAGGAGTGTGCCAAGCGGAATCTATAAAAGCTCATAGCAGGACCTCTGTACAGATATCACAACTTTGATTCTCGAATACACAGAGCTTTTGCCTATTTGTCTATTTTGCTGACTTAGGCATCGGATAAGTATCCGGCACGGCTAGATCACGTTTGTGTTTTCAGGAAGTAAAGCGACGACGTTTGTAGGAGCGCAGACTTGATCAACAGGATTATACGAGAACATTATTTCGTGCTCATACAATTGGCGCCGTCTGTGGGAATTCCACAAAGAACAAAACCTCTTGATCAAGCTTTCCTCTCTAGTTGGAAGCAATGACACACAGTGAAGACTTGCCGCAATCTGCTGTTGATGGGCAAACCCCAGAGGGGGCTGGGAGGTGCGAAGGTTTGCCTTCTGTCCCACCCATGGCAGATTTAGAGCCCCAATGACGGAACTCCCGAAGGGACGTAAGGGAGAGATGGGGCGTAAGCCTCTGTCGCTCTCAGAGTCCTCCTAAAAGGCAGAGACGGAGGTTGGACCCTCAAGTTCTGGAGGATCGCGTAAAGGAGCAGGATGAGTTAATTAGGAAGATGACGGCAGACATGGAGACAATGAAGCCCCAGATAAAAGGGAAATAGGTGGTGACAGGAGAGGGGCGCAAAGGCAACACGCCCCCTCGCCACTCGGAGGATCGTGATAGGCATACCATACCATCACAAGCAGAAAGTAGGAGCCTTAGAATAGGCGACACTCAATCAAGGACTTCCAGGACTCGTTACTCCAGGTCTGAGGGAAGCACCTATCGGCCCTCGCACACGCACCAGACAACATCTAGGCACACGGAGTTGCCTAGATCATCTGACTTATGAACAGTACTTGAAGAAAGGGCCCGATAGAAGGAGGACACCAGGGCTCGCGACCCACACAGAGTTTCAGCACTACAGCGATTGGCTCCTAGAACACATGGAAGTGTCGAAGTAGGGATGCCAATGCCTTGCCTTGCTTACGAACCAGCAGATAAGGTATTAGCAAGGTTGCAGAGCTCGTTGTTCGTTCCGACAAAAGAGAACGCACCACTACCTTCGGGCTTCCACCAGCCCAAATTTGCCACTTATGAGGGGAAGACAGACCCTTACATGCACTTGAGCCACTTTTGCCAGGTTATGGCAGTGTACCAGCGGAATGAGGCCCTGATGTGTATCTTGTTCCCATCCAGCCTTGGCGACCTAGGTTTAACCTGGTTCGAAAGGCTACCAGAAAGCAGCATCGCCTCCTAGGCACAATTGGCAGAGGCGTTCGTGACTAGGTTCAGAACGAACACCAAGACACCAGTGGAGATCAATCAACTACTCTCCATTGACATGGGCGACAAGGAAACGTTGAGATCCTACAACGGTCGGTATTGGGAAACTTTCAACCAGATAGGAGATTGCCCCACAAATCTCGCCATCGCGCAATACAAAAGGGGTCTACCAGTCGGAAACAAGTTGAGGGACTCAATTACTATGACGCCACCCCTCATGATGGAGGCCCTAATGGAGAGGGTACACCAACATATCTGCGTGGAGGAAGATAGCACCCGGGCTAAAGCAAAATCTGGCTCAACAGTAATGCTAGACAAAAAGACTGCAGCAAAAGTCAACACGGTAGAACAACCAAACAAGAATGGACGAGGCAGACGAGCCAACAGGGAGGACCCAGAAAAAATGAGGTTAAAAGTTTGCACTACCATCACCACCGTGTTCAATAAACCCATCTACCGAATTCTTAGCGAGATAAAGAATGAACCCTTCGTTTGGCGGCCAACCAAGTTGGGAATAACACAAAGGGGCTACGATGAGAGGTCCCGCTACACCTTCCATGATGAGAAGGGGCACCTAACTGAAAATTGCACACCCCTGAGGCAATATTTGGAAGAATTAGTTGATGCTGGTCACCTAGACCAGTATATTGAAGGGGGAACACAGCCAGCCCCCCAGGACCTCAACGGGCCAAACGGGATGCCGGTGGACGGACTACCCCAAGGCGTAATCAATGTTATTCATGGGATCATTGAACCTGACCAGGTATGTGAACTCAGGAGGATGATAAAGAAGGCAGAGCACCTGAAGGAGGTACTAAGTGCACAACCCGCCATCAAAAAGGGCAAAACAGAGGCCACAAACGTCATATCCTTCTCAGACAAGGACCTAGCAAGGCTACATTGCCCTCATAATGATGCACTGGTGGTAACTTTGCACGTCAAAAACTTCTACATCAAGCGAATCCTGATTGACCAAGGAAGTTCATGCGAGATAATGTATTATGAAACCTTCAAATAGCTGAAACTATAGGACAAAGACTTAGCCCCTGCAACATCCCCCCTAGTTGGCTTTAACTCAAAGCCAGAATGGCCAGTAGGCAAGATAATCCTCCCAGTCAAAGCTGGGACCATGAGTAAACAAGTGGAATTCTGGGTATTGAAGGTCCCTTCCACTTACAACATAATACTGGGAAGAACATAGCTGCACGCCATGCGATCAATAGCGTCAACCTACCATCAAGCACTGCGGTTCCCCAATGAAGTCGGAGTAATTGAAGAGGTCCTGGGAGACCAAATCATGTCAAAACAGTGCTTCATCACAGTAAATGGAAACCGGGCTGCAAAAGGATATTTACAGATGGTAGAAGAGCCAGAGAGCAATGAACTATTTGCGGATGTTGGCAAGATAGCAGAACAGAAGGCAGTGAAAGACTTGGTAGAGGTAAGGATAGATGAAAAGAACCTAGAAAAGTTCTTTTTGCTCGGCTCGTCTTTGTCCGGCACTGAGAGAATAGAGATCATAGAATTCTTAACCTCTAACATTGAAGTGTTTGCATGGACACCATACAACATGCCTGCCATTGACCCAAACTTCATCTGTCACCAACTGAATGTCCACCCGACTGCTAGACCAATTATACAGCGTACTCGCAGATCAGCACTCCATCACGCGGAGATCGTGGCGGAGGAAGTGGGAAACTTGCTAGAGGTAGGAGCCATCAGAGAATAACACTATCCCAGGTGGATGTCCAATACAGTAGTAGGGCCAAAGAAGAATGAAAAATGGCGTGTTTGCATGGGCTACAGACACAGTCAACAAGGCATGTCCAAAGGATAGCTTTTCCTTACCCAGGATAGACCAACTAGTAGACTTGATGGCAGGGCACAATCGACTTAGCTTCCTGATATGTATAGAGGTTACCATCAGATCGCTATGTATGAGCCAAACCAGGAGGTCACATCTTTTACAACACCCAGAGGATTGTATTGCTACAAGGTCATGCCCTTTGGCCTAAAAAATGCAAGGGTCACATTCCAACGGATGGTCACCAAAATGTTTGAACCATTGTTAGGCAAAACAATGGAGGCTTACATTGATGACATGGTGGTCAAAAGCAAGGATGAGAAAGACCATCTCAGGGACCTAGACGAAATGTTCCAAATCCTAAAGAAGAACAAGTTACGTCTAAATGAATCTAAGTGTGCGTTCGGCGTAGGATCAGGCAAATTCCTAGGCTTCTTGGTGACCAATCGAGGTATAGAAGCAGATCCCTCTCAAATCAAAGCAATCCAGGATCTAGAGAGGCCCAACACAGTAAAAGAGGTGCAGCATCTCACTGGCCTAGCTGCCGCACTCAACCGGTTCATAAGTCAGTCATCAGACAGATGTCGACTATTCTTCCATGCGTTGAAGGCCAAATTTGAGTGGGATGAAGAATGTGATCGCGCCCTAGAGAGCCTGAAAGACTATGTGAGTTCTCCTCCATTGCTAGTAACCCCAATACCTGGAGAAGAACTCTTTTTGTACTTAGCAGTTTCACAGCATGCATTCAGCGCAGTGTTGGTTAGAGCAGAAGGAATCCAGCACCTGTCTATCTTTTATGTTAGCAAGACCTTGCTGGGGACAGAAACCAGGTACCTACCATTGGAAAAGATGGCCTTAGCTTTGATGATGGCCTCAAGGAAGTTATCACATTACTTCCACGCCCACACCATAATCGTCATGACAACTTTTCTCTTAAAAGATTTGTTTGAGAGGGCAGACTTTTGCTGGACGAAGCTTGAAATGGGCGGTGGAATTGGGACAGTTCGACATCAAGTTTCAACCTAGAACCGCAATAAACACCCAAGCTCTGGCAAACTTTGTGGCTAAGTTCACACCAGGAAGCCATCACATCTGCTCAGTTGACTTAACTGATACAACTGAAAAGGGAATAAAAAATGCCGCAGGAATTGCGCAGCCCCCAAAACAAGATGCCCAGCCACATCCCAAGGCATACCAGATTGAAGAAAGGGAGAAAGAGGCAAACCATGCCATACTCGGCAAAGACTCATCAACAAGTAAAAATTTGGTACAGTCAGATAGAGAAGATCAAACCCCAACAGCAGACGTGGACTTGGAAGAAAACATCAATAACACTCATGACCCCAAGACATCATCCGACCCCTCCACTTGCTGGAAGCTATTCGTTGGAGAGATGTGGAAGCTCTTCATAGACAGAGCATCCAATAGGCACGGTGCAGGACTTGCCATAGTCCTCATTTCACCAGATAGCCTGATAGTGGAACAAGCAGTCAACCTTGGCTTCCCAACATCAAACAATGAGGCAGAGTACAAAGCACTTCTAGCAGGCCTAAAATCAGCACTCTTCATGAAGGCCACCGAGCTAATGGTTTACAGTGACTCCCAACTGGTAGTAAACCAGATTTCAGGCGACTACGAGGCAAAAAATGAGAGGATGGCTAAGTACCAAGAGTTAGTCAGAAAGGAGATCATGAAGTTCGAAGTAGTGCGAATAGAGCAGATCGGCTGAGACGAAAACAACAGAGCAAACGAACTGGCATGTTTTGCCTCTATGGCAAAAACATCTATTCCACATCCACTACTGATCGACTTCTTACCCAGACCAAGTATTGAAAAAACCGAAGTAACAGAGGTATGTTGTGTCGAACTAGGCCCTTCATGGATGGATCCCATTATTGTATTCTTAAAAGATGGCATCTTACCTGAAGAGAAGAAATAGGCCAACAAGATCAGAGCAAAGTCACAGCGATTTTGGCTCTCTCCGTCATTGGCATTATACAAAAAATTCTTCACAGGACCTTACTTGAAATGTGTCAATCCTAGCAAGGTTGAGGCATTCTTGTTCAAGATATAGGAAGGCATATATGGAAGCCACCAAGGGGGAAGATCATTGGCCTACAGAGCAATTTCACAAGGATATTGGTGGCCTTACATGCAAGCAGATTCAGAGAAGTATGTCAAGAAGTGCGAGAAATGTCAGAAGTTCGCACACTAAATACATCAACCAGCCAGAGAGCTTCTACCATTAACTAGCCCATGGCCCTTTGCAATATGGAGCTTGGACATAGTAGGGCCACTTCCAACAACACCCGGCAACAGAAAGTTTTTTCTCACAGCAACAGATTACTTCACGAAGTGGATAGAGGCTGAAGCACTCGCATCAATAAAGGAGAAAGATGTTAAGAAGTTCGTCTGGCAGAATATCATAACCCGATTCGGCATACCAAGGGCTCTGATATTCGACAATGGCATTCAGTTTGACGACAAGATCTTCAGAGGCTTCTGCGAGAAATACAAGATAGAACTCTACAACTCTACACCAGCATACCCTCAAGCAAATGGCCAGACAAAAGCACCAAACAAAGTTGTCTTGGATGGTTTGAAGAAAAGGTTGGAAAGAACAAAAAGGCAAGTGGACTGAGGAGCTTCCTCATGTTCTATGGGCTTACCGCATCGCACCTCGGCGGTCAATTGGTGAAATGCCTTTTTCTTTGGCCTATGGCATGGAGGCGGTAATCCCACTAGAAGTAGGCCTCCCCACCATTAGAAGTGAAAATTTTGACCCAGACTTGAATGAAGAAGCCATAACCTTGGAACTTGACCTAGCAGAAGAGAGAAGAGAAAGAGTACTAGTTCACATCACCTCATACCAGCAAGAGTTATCTAGAAAATATAACAAGACGGTACATCCGAGGCAATTCAAAAATGGAGATTGGGTGCTGCGCAAAGTAATGGAAAACACTTTGGTACTCGGTGATGGCAAGTTAGGGCCTAATTGGGAAGGACCATACAAAGTGGTTGGCTTAGCAGGAAAATGGGCATATATCAGAGCAAAGTCACAGCGATTTTGGCTCTCTCCATCATTGGCATTATACAAAAAATTCTTCACAGGACCTTACTTGAAATGTGTCAATCCTAGCAAGGTTGAGGCATTCTTGTTTAAGATATACGAAGGCGTATACGGAAGCCACCAAGGGGGAAGGTCATTGGCCTACAGAACAATTTCACAAGGATATTGGTGGCCTTACATGCAAGCAGATTCAGAGAAGTATGTCAAGAAGTGCGAGAAATGTCAGAAGTTCGCACACTAAATACATCAACCAGCCAGAGAGCTTCTACCATTAACTAGCCCATGGCCCTTTGCAATGTGGAGCTTGGACATAGTAGGGCCACTTCCAACAACACCCGGTAACAGAAAGTTTTTTCTCACAGCAACAGATTACTTCACGAAGTGGATAGAGGCTGAAACACTCGCATCAATAAAGGAGAAAGATGTTAAGAAATTCGTCTGGCAGAATATCATAACCCGATTCGGCATACCAAGGGCTCTGATATTCGACAATGGCATTCAGTTTGACGACAAGATCTTCAGAGGCTTCTGCGAGAAATACAAGATAGAACTCTACAACTCTACACCAGCATACCCTCAAGCAAATGGCCAGACAGAAGCATCAAACAAAGTTGTCTTGGATGGTTTGAAGAAAAGGTTGGAAAGAGCAAAAAGCAAGTGGACTGAGGAGCTTCCTTATGTTCTATGGGCTTACCGCACCGCACCTCGGCGGTCAATTGGTGAAATGCCTTTTTCTTTGGCCTATGGCATAGAGGCGGTAATCCCACTAGAAGTAGGCCTCCCCACCATTAGAAGTAAAAATTTTGACCCAGACTTGAATGGAGAAACCATAACCTTGGAACTTGACCTAGCAGAAGAGAGAAGAGAAAGAGCACTGGTTCACATCGCCTCATACCAGCAAGAGTTATCCAGAAAATATAATAAGACGGTACATCCAAGGCAATTCAAAATTGGAGATTGTGTGCTGCGCAAAGTAATGAGAAACACTCTGGTACCCGGAGATGGCAAGTTAGGGCCTAATTGGGAAGGACCATACAAAGTGGTTGGCTTAGCAGGAAAATGGGCATATCACTTGGAAGATGGAGACAGCAAGGCTGTTCCCAGACCATAAAATACTACCAATCTCAAGTTATTTTATTTTTAG